ATGAAGCAACCATGGTAGCATGGATGGACGCTACGTACTGGCTCGCATTCACCATTGTTGAGCCCTGTGTGTGGCACAACTGTGGAAGAGAATAACCAGTTTTCTGGTGACAGACTATGTACATCAGACCTCTTCCATCATGCAAAGACCTCTCCTGTCATACAGTCCATCCTGACTGGAGCTGACACATAGTTGTCATGAGTTTTCCTTTCTAGCCTGTGAATCTAGGAAGGAATGAAGGGGTGGCCCCTTCCCAGTGTCACTACATGAAGATCCACAGAATATCAGACTTGCCAACATGGGTCTCCTGTTCTAACACCTCAGAGCAAGGAAGGTGGCCTAACAGTGGGTACGTGACCACTGACCCTCCCACACACTGCCTCCAGAAGATGGCAGCCGCTGGAATTGTGAAAGCCTTCGCTGAGACACCAACATGGAAGTGAACCTTGGTGAGAGCAGGGTGCTGTCCTTCAGGTTGTGACATGTTGTATAAGCCACCAGTTATATCATAATACTATGCCCCTAGGGGGAGCAATTCACCCATCTGAGAAACACAATATGACAGAAGGAGTAGCCCCTTTCCCATCATTCCAGGGAGCAGGATTCAATCCCAGGTCCCACACGCCATGCCAGTCCTGACCCTGTGGCACAATGAGCTGGCCACCAAGTTCAGGCATGGTGGCGCATGCCTGAAATCCCAGTGCTTGGGAGACTGAAAACAGGAGGATCACTACAAGTCTGAGCTGCAAGTGAGACCCTTTACCAAACACATGAATGAAAACAAACCAAAAAAAAAAAAAGACCAGTCTGGGATATAAAGTGAGCTGAGGGCTGGGGAGATGGCTCAGTGGTCTAAGGCACCTACTTGAAACAAGCTTGGCAAAGCACAGGGACCGCGGTTCGATCCCCAGCGCCGCATGCCAGCCGGCCCCGCCCCCTGGTGTGCTGAGCTGGCCACACACACACACAATAAATAAATGTAATAAATAAAAATAAATAAATATTAAAAAAAAAAAAAGTGAGCTGAAGGCCAGCCTGAGCTACATAACAAGACCCTGTCTAAAGAAAACAGGAAGGAAGGAAGGAAGGAAGGAAGGAAGGAAGGAAGGAAGGAAGAGGGCATAGACATTTGCAGCCACATGGATAGAACTGAAAGATACTATGTTATGTGAAATGCTGCCAGGCACAGAAGACAAGTACTACATGATCTTACTCCTATGTGTGTGCTTAAATGTTGCTTTCAGAGAGATAAAGAGTAAAATCGGGGCCCGTAGATGCTAAGAAGTGGGGAGAGACAGGTGAGAGAAGGAGCTGGACGGAGTACCTCATTAAAGTTAGGAAGAGGGGCTGGTGAGATGGCTCGGTGGTCTAAAGCACCTACTTAGAACAAACTTAGCAAAGCACAGGGACCGCGGTTCAATCCCCCAGCACCGCATGCCAGCCAGCCCCGCCCCCTGGTGGGCTGAGCTGGCCACACACACACACACACACATAAATAAATAAATAAAATTTAAAAAAATAAAAAATAAAAAAAAATAAAATAAATAAAGTTAGGAAGAGTGAGTTCTGACGCCCTACAGTGTGGTTCACAATAATTTGTTACTGCAGTTCACAATAATTTGTTAGATATGTTGTGAAGAACAACAGACAGGAATTCAACTGCTCCTAATACAAAGAAATGAAAAAAAAATAATGCAAAGAAATGATAAATGTTTAAGGACATGGGTGTGCTCATTTGACTGCAATCTACCATACACATGGATCAAACGAGCACAGTTTGCTTGGAAAATGTGAACGATTGTTGTGTACAAAAAAAGTAATATTAGCATAGACAGAAAACCAAAACCATGTCTGGTTTGAAATCAGCTTTGCCATTTCCAAGCTTAGGCGAGCAATTTTTTAAAAATCTTTTATGCATTTGTTTGGTACAGGGTCTTACTACACAGCTCAGCCTCACAGTAATCCTCCCGTCTCAGCCTCCCCAGCGCTGGGATTACAAGCGTGCACCACCACGCCCTGTCTGGGTAGCTGGCACAGCAGTACAGCATGTGGTACCGGGAATCGAACCCGGGTCCTTGTGCTTGGCAGGCACACACTTAGCCCGCCAAGCTCTCTCCCCCACCCTAGACGAGTAATTTAATCTCTTCCTACCTTGGTTTCCTCATCTATGCAGTCATAATTACAGTTGCCCCTTCTGAATGGTGTCAATGGAATTCAATGAGTTTACAGTGCCCAGGACATTGCCATTACTAATTCTTTATGCATGTGCAATCAGAGAACACGCACTGTCACTGAAGTGGAACAAGTCGGCGTACCAATTTCTGGACACTTATTTCCAAGTTTAGTGCTTCGGGTGTCATCTGGATGGTCCAATGTTAGACCATGAGTGGATCTTCCTTCTCCCTACCCTTGCTATTGTAATGGCTTTTATCAGCTCGTGTTTGCAGCCCAGAATGCCTGCATTCCTGGTGGTGAACCGGTGCATGTGTACAGCGCATCCCCTCCATCTCTTGCTCCCCTTCTGCAGAAGTTCCAGCTCCGTTTCCTATTATCTTGCTTTTCTCTGGTTCGCCCATTTATCACACTTGGAGTGCCTCATGGAAGAGAAACTATGCGATATTTAAGCTTGCGTGTCTGATCTGTTTCATTCAACCCTGATAAAATGTTATTGTGCCTTTGCTAATGGATTGTCCGCCTGCTGCTTGCGGCCGTCAACGCCTGGCTGGAATCAGCCCGCGCGTGAGCACGCAGGTTCTCCCGCGCAGCGGCGGCGCCCCTGACCCGAGCAGCACGGAGGATCACGTGGCCCGCAGAAGCCCCCTGAGGGGACGGCTGTGTCCCCTGTGCCGCAGCGCCGATTCCCTGCAAAGCTGCAGCATGGGGCTTCTACCTTCCAGGAGCCCCTTACAAAACTGAAAACAGTTCTTTGTGAGTTTTTTCCCCTCTCTTTTCACACTGGATTGTGGCCTGGTTTTATGTGAAAATCCCTAAGGTAAAGAGAAAAGGCCCGTCATAGCATAGTGGCATGAGCCCTGGTGAGGGAGGCACTTTGCACAGCATTTATCGTGGAGGCTGCCCTTCGCCTTTGGAGCCTCGGCCTCAGTTAACTATTTCCAGAGACCAAGAAAGCTAAGGATGGACTTGCATCCCTCTCCAGCAGCGTCTTTTCCTCCCTTCTTCTACCAATAACTTTCATCTAGAGATGACTGGAAAAAGAGGTTTGAGTCTGGCGTTTTTTTCTGAAGCCACTCCATAATTATGACAGCAATGGCAATATCGAGCATGCATTTACTATATTCTCTGACCCCAGCATTTTGCTGCCTTTTCTGTTCTCCTCTGGTGTAATTCTCAGCAAACCGAAGAGCCCTAGACACACAGCTCGTTTTAGGACTGAAGTCTCACAACTTGGAAATCTCTAATTTGGTAGCACCCCTAAGCAAACTGATCTGATAGAGATTTTCATGTGTCTCACCCAAGCAAACACAGCCAAGCCAACTCTTTAAACGTAAATTTGCTACTGGAAAAAAAAAATTTAATTTTTTTAAAAAAGCAGTTCAAGTTTCAAAAGACGATTTCTAAGTATTTTTCCCAAGCACTGTATAAACTGAGCAGTTAGGTGATTCTAATGGTGGCTGAGGTCCAAAGGCACAATTTTATTTCCGACTTTGCCAGACTCCTTCATCAGCCTTTGAATAAGCCAGTGAGGCCACCAGGCCCTCCTCTTGCATTTCTAATCAAGCACACGCCACCACAGTAACCTGTCACCTGGGGAGCTCTCAGCAGAAAGATAAAGCTTTTTAGAGACTGTCATTATACTTGTTTGGGCCGGATTATGCTGCTCTCACCGACCTAGGTTTCCTTCTACACATGATAATTCAGCAGAGCTGGTTGAAACCTTTCTGTGTTTAATTTCTGAAGTAATAAGGTGCCTGACTTCATTTTCTTCAATGAAAGCTCATCAAGAGTGGAATGGTGACAACTTCAACTCCAGCAAGAGCACAAGTGTCATAAAGACACAGAATCTCAGAAATATGCAAGACGCAGAATCTCAGAGAGAGTCCTAGATGGCCCAGAAAGACCCATTTTAAAGGCAAAAGTTTTTAAAATTCAAGAGATAACATAAAAAAAAAGGAGAAGCCAGGTGGTATATTCACTCATCAGGGTGAGAAATGATTATTAAAACACATAAAAAGCTATTCAAGTATATTTTTCACATTTATTTATGTAAAGGAGATAAAGGATCACTTTATCCTACCCATAAGGATTACTGATCAATTCTTCTCTAAAACCTGAGATGTTTATTATTGTGTATACAAAGTATAATAAATTAAAACATAACATCAAATCATTCATTTATGTCAAACTCTCCTGGCAGTAATAGTACATCTGACTTTTAAAATATTTATTTTGTCTTGGACTAAAACCTCACTTGCATAATAGTCCTGAACATTTCCCCACTGCTACCACATAAGATTTCTTGCTTTAAAAAGTAAAATATTTTTAAGTTATCTTCTTGAAACTACCATGCAACTAGTCTTCTCTTTGAAAACCAGTACATCAGGAGCCACTTTATATTTTATGACAAGCTTTAAAATGGCAAATATTTAATTTTCACTTACAGTGAAAACTAAAGTGAAAAGCTCTTAAAATTATTTCAACCCAAAGGACAATTGTGTTTCCTCACTACTACTGAATTTACATGAAATACTATCTCCTGAACTCTTGCCTAATTTTTTACCTGACACACCAGTGCACTGTCACCACGTAAGTGCTTACCCTGCTGGATAACCAAAGTACTTTCCTTAGTAACTTCCCAATAATTCTGATGAACCTTTTTTTTCTACTTCCATGCAGATTTTTGGCTCTGGAAGAGGTTACCAAAGCCAGCTAATCTCACCCATCCCCTCCTCATTAAAATAAGGTTTATAAAACAGCAGTCTCACACACTGGTATTGCGAGGCCACTCAGAAATCAGCCAAAAGTTTACATTTAAACTTTACCTTTGTAAAATGCCCAGTGAATCTCCCACTGCATTCTTCACGCCTTCCTTTCCAGGTTTCAGAATTTTCTCTTTCAAGGTATCAAATGCTTTAAAAGGCATTTTGAAGGGGGTAAGGGTACCTCCAAGCTGTTACCAGTAGCTCTCAGAAACTGTCATCTTTCCTCGTTTCCAGCATGGGCAGCCTTTGGTTGGTTCCCTTGATGACCACCTGGAAGTCAGTGCTCATGGAGAGAACTACTTAAAACCAAAAAGGAGACGATGCCCGGCCCCAGATTGTCCAGGAAGAGATAACCCTCTCCTCTCTCTCTCCACCAAAGAAAAAGAAGAAGCTGAAGGTTTTCTAGCTGCAGATTCAGCCCCTTTGAAAGCTCCCAGCCCAGCTCAGCAGCAGCCTGCGGCCGCTCTCCAAACAGCCACCCCGCAGACTGAGCACAGCGTCTTGCTTGCCCTGGCTGCAGCTGGAGAAGCTGTCGTGGGCTGCAGCCCACGAGGGGCCCAGATCAGCTCCAGAGTCTGCAGCTGAGCTCCCCGGCTGGCCTGTGGCTCTGAGTGATGCTTCCCCAGGTAACGCTAGAGCGAGCTGCACACCTGCCCCTCAGCTGGCTGCCTGGGCTTATTAATGGGCTCTCAGCCAGAGCAGGCGCTCAGAGTGAAGTTGATGAAACATTTACAAGTCCTTGCTTTTCTGAGGTCTGGTCCTGCAGGCAGGCTCTCAGCCGCCACTTCATGCTGTTCGTTCCACTCAGAGTAAACTACCGTTCAGCCAGTCACTGGCGCAGACGTGGGCCTCCAAGAACCACTTGCCATTGAGTAGCCTGATGCAAACCCCAGGCCAAGCCCACCTAGAAGACACTGGTTTGCTTCTCATCAATACAGCAGGCTTTCTAAAGAGGTGATGTAGATGTCACTAGGACCATGTAATAGAAGAGTTCTCAGTCAGTAACGGCACCTATTAGAGTTCCTCGCTGGCTCCTGTGTCCTTGACATAGAGAAGATCTGTCATCAAGGTACCCGAGGCCCCCGTGTGCTGGATGTGCTCAGCAAGCTGCCCGTTGCTCCTGGGGTTTGTGCAGGCAGTTGCCCACTGTCTGGGTCACTTCTGGATGTTCTTAGATCGTGCTGAGGCATCACCTGCTCATCAAAGGCCCCTAGACAAGGTACAGTGTCCCTCGGCACATCGCCTGCCCTCCACCGTACCAGGACCTGGCTGGTAATGGGTGGAACCTAGAAGCCTCTGGACTCACATTATGGGCTGCAGGATGAGGCCTCCACCAGTGATGTCACCAGGAAGAAATGGCCTTCATCTGTGCAGCTCTGGGGCTTCAACCTGGGACATGACTGAGGAACCACACACATTAGGCCCCTGGCTTTCCCGGGAGTCATTTCCACAGGACCAGTCACTGCTCTCCACGAGCCACAGTGCAGGTCCTTCTCTAAGACTTAGGTTACACCAGAAAACCCCCATGGGTACACAGGGCGAGGATCTACTGGACTTCTCTTTCTGTACGGTCCAAAGTGCTCTTCATATATTATCACAATCTTTCCACTGCTGCTTCGTGATTAGTTACTTATTTTCTCCAGTTCCATTTATTGGAAAATGAAGCAAAGAGAGGTTGGGCTTGTCTGAGATCACAGAACTAGTAAGTACCAGAGTCCAGCTGCAGATCCAAAAGCCCTCTCTGTTTGTCTGTCTGTCTGTCTCCCCCAGCTCTCTTCATTTTTCCCTTCTTCCCTTTCCTCTCTGCCATTCTCTCACACCCACACCACTGCAGCATATGCTGCTTGTCACATCATTCATTTATTTCAAGTGGACAGACTGGCAGCTCTCTGTAAATTTACCAAGTCATACAGCCAACATTATGGAGCAATTTTAGAACATTTCTGTCACCCCAATGAAGATCCCTCATATTTACTTTAAATCCCATCTACCACCTTCTATCCTGCCTCAGGTAACTGCTAGTCTATTTTCTTTGCCTTTTCTTCCCATTTTAGAGAAATAAAGTATATGATCTATGGTTTCTGGTGGAAATTTTTACTTTTGCATTTGTGCATATTTTGGTACTGGGCTTCTTTCATCTAGTGTAATGGGCCTGATGTCTGTTTAGGACCCAGCATGTATCAGCAGTCTGTTCCTCCCTTTTTTGCTACAGAATACTTCATTGTATGCACACACTACATATTGCCCCTCTATTGAAATATGGACGGACATTGATGTTATTTCCAATGTCTGGATAGTATGAATAAAACTGTTGTAAACATGTCCCTTTGGGGCTGGTGAGATGGCTCAGTAGTCCAAAGCACCTACTTAGAACAAGCTAAGCTTAGAAAAGCACAGGGACCGCGGTTCAATCCCCCAGCACCACATGCCAGCCAGCCCCGCCCCCTGGTGGGCTGAGCTGGCCACACACACACACACACACACACACAAATAAAAATAAATAAATAAATAAACATGTCCCTGCAAGTCTTTGTGTAGATGTATGTTTTTCATCTTCCCTTCCTAAATATCTAGGAGTGGAATTGCTGGTTCTTATGGAGCATGTATGCTTAACTTTTAAGAAGCTACCAAATTAGTTTTCAAAGTGGCTGTACTGTTTTACATTCCTACCGGCACGTATCAAGGCTCTCACTTTTCTGCATCCTTCTCAATATTTGTTTTCTGCCTTTTTCAGTATAACTAGTCAAGAGGCATGATAAGGGTTATCTTACTGTAGGCTTAATCTATATTTCTCTAGTAATTAATGACATGGATCATCTTTACAGAGGCTTGTTAGCCATCTAAATATCTTTTGGGGGATGAAATTTATATCTAAATATATTTTCCACATTTTAAAATGATTTTGTGTCTGTTTATTATCAAGGTATATTGACACGTATCCTGGATACATGTTCCAAAGATGTCTCGTGTTTATTGGAGATACATTTGGCAAAAATTCCTCCTCAGTCGGCTGTTTGCTATTTCATTCTTTTAATTTCGAAATAAATATTTTTCTTATTTTGATGAGATCCAATTAATTTTTCTTCTTTTATGAACTGTACTTCTGCATACCTAAGAATTCTTTGCCTAACCCAAAGCTGCAAAGGCTTTCTCCTACATGGGCTTCTAAGAAGTTTATTATCTCAGCACTTCTAGTTAAGTCTGGAGTCTATTTTGATTCAGTTTTATGCCTGGTGTGAGATAAATGTTGAGGTTCATCATGTGATGATCCAATTTTCTCAGCATCTTTTGTTAGAAACGCTATCCTTTCTCCAGTAAATTGTCTTGGCATCTTTGTCAAAAATCAATTGAACAAAAATATAAAGATTTATTTTGGGACTTTTATTTCTATTCAATTAATGTATATGTCTATTATTAGCCCAGTATCACACTATCTTGCTCCAGCTATACAGTAAGTTTTGAAGTTGAAAAATGGAAATTTTAACTTTTGTCTCTTTTAAAAAATTATTTGGGCTCTCTTAATAATCTTTTGGTTTTGTTTTTTTTTTTTTACTTGTTTTTTGGAGTTTTTTATTTTAAGGGAGGGTCTACAGGATGTTCAGGGTCTCACTACTAGATTGGACTCGTAGTGATCTGCCTGTTTACAGCCTCCCAAGAGCTGAGATTATAGGCGCACGCCACCAAGCCGTCTCAACTGCCATCTCAGCGCGCCCCAGGGGTGGGGCCAGCACGGCAGGCCCGGGGATCGAACCCTTGGCCCCTGTGCCTGCTTGCAGGCATTTTAATCCGCTGAGCTACTTGACTGGCCCTCTCCTAGATCTTTTGCATTTTGCATATAAATTTTAGGAACTGCTCATCCATTTCTACACACAAAAAAATCCTATCCGGCCCTGGGCTCTTACTTGTCTGATCACCCACTTGACAACACAACTTTTCAAGGCCCAAAAGGCCGAGGCCCCAGAAAGCCACACATTTAAATACTCTACCACGTCTTTATCTAGCTCCAAAAAGCGCTTTCATCTCTTGAAAGCAAATACAATCACAATAAAATATGATTAACAGGGCTACCGAACTAGCTCAGGGGACTAAAGTGCCTGCTTAGGCGAGCTTAGGCGAGCACAGGGACTGCGGCTAGATCACCAGCATCACCTGCTGCACCAGCCCCGCCCCAGGGTGGGCTAAGCCAGCCAGAGTGTGGGCGTCGCGACGCACGCCCGTAATTCTAGCACTGAGGAGGCTGAAAGCAGGAGGATCCTAAGTCCGGGCTGCATGGCAATGAGACCCTGCAACCAAATATCCTATCCATGTGTTAATCATAAGAATCTGCTGGTGAACCATCTAGTCGATGCTCAACCCCACATACCTTTATATTTCTTTTCTCTTCTGGCACACCGTGGAATGGTTGCTAGGCAAAGACTGCATCTGTCTCAAAGGGCCAGTGGCTGCCGAGGGTGCTGACCATTCCTACAATGTTTTGCCCTGGAAATACTCTTGGATCTACTAAGTGTCCTAGTAGTGACTAAGATGGCTCATGATAATATTTCTAGAGTATTTTGTTCCCAGATTTTACGAATTTAATATGCATTAACTTATTAATTCCCCACAATGACCCTGTGTTCATCATTATATCATCTACATATGAGAAAACTGAGGCACAGAGAAGTTAGATTACTTCCTTAAATTCATACAGCAAAGAAACTGCATAGTAAATGGTATATAGACCCAGGAAGTATGACAACAGAATATACACTTCTAACTTCTGAGAGCTGTCGCTAAGAGAGGCCTAAATCCAGGAGTGGTGGCACAGGCCTGTAATCCTAGCATTGTGGGAGTCAGAAGCAGGATTACAGGTTTAAGACAAACATGGGCAACTTAGTGTCTTAGTAAAACTTTGTTTCAAAATGAAACAAAGGGGGGAGGAAGGGAAGAAGGGAGGGAGGTAGGAAGGGAGAGAGGAGGAGAGGGGAGAGAGGGGGCAGAGAGAGAGGGGAGGGGGAGGGGGAGAGAGAGGGAGAAGGGAGAGGGGAGAGAGAGAAAGAGGGAGGGAGGGAGAGAGAGAGAGAGAGAACTGGAATGTGGTGCTAAGTCCATATGATCAAAGATAGATCCCTTCCTTCACGCTTGGGAGAAGATGGAGCTCTCAGGAGGCAGGGCCTAATGGAAAGTCTTTGGGTCATTGTGGG